TCCTCAGGGTCACTGTGCTTTGTGAAGGGGGAGAGACCTGAGATCACATTGCAGCACATTGATTTGAAGCAGGTGCAGCTTTGAGACAGTTTCTGCTATCTCAGCCACCTCCCACATTCCCGTCTGGATTGCAAACTTTCTTTTTTTTTTTTCCTCCCCCTTTCCCCTCTTGTCAAGAAAATTTACAGAGCTTGTCCTTCATCTCCTTCCAAAGATAGAGCTTGTGGAAGGAAAACAGCCGAGAGATGCTGAATCTTATCAGGGTTTATGTCCCGATGCTTAAGCTGTCAGCTGTAGCTGGGGCGGGATTTCCTCTTGGTTTCACATAACTGTAGAAAAGAATATTTTTTGTGATTTACCTGGCTGGTTCCTCCATTTTCTAATTCACAGAACTGACAATGTTTCCCCCTTTAAAATGTACTGTTTGCTCTCCATTATGTCATGCAATGGTGATGGCAAGTGGAACGGTTATGCTTTCTGAAGTGTAACTCTCATGATACAAGCAGAGAAGATGCTCAGAGGAGCTGGATAGCCCTCAGGCCTGCTGTGTAGTTCTTCCCACCTTGGAGGAGATGTGATTCTTTTGTCCCCAAAACACGAAAGGGAGTCTGCCTTTTTCTCAAGAAGAGATACACGCAGACCCCGTTGCCTCTGTTGCCTTGGTTCAGGATCTGGGGAACAGCAGTTCTGGGGATGTTTGACAGGAAACCCGCTCTGCTTGCAGGAGTCCTGTAAGGGAATTGTTTGCTTCCTGGAGATGAAATCCACCGTAATTACAGAAGCAGGTTATTGTGTCATGTAGGACTCCATGTTAGACTGACATTTCCAAATGTGCATCCATCCTCGCAGGGGAGCATCAGTACAGCCAGCACTCATTAATGGCACGCTGTGTGAGGGACTAAGTGACCGGTCAGCTCAAAAAGCCAGCTCACCAGGGCTTGCTCTCACATGTCAAGTCAGTCCCTGTCTCCGCTCGCAGCTGCCACTGCAGTGGCCCAAGACAGCAGCTTGGTGCTCAGAGATCGCTGCCAAGGCTGCAGGGGAGACCAGTGGGACGCGTGATGCCTGTCAACTCCTCACCAAATCTTGAAAGGCTTTTCTTTTCTGCTTTTTATCTGTTTTCAAAAGCAGGGTGCTACCTTGTTTAATGGTTTAATAGATCAGTTGGGCAACTTCCATTAGAAGATTGGTTTGATCTTTTGTTTTTGCAATGTGACTCCCTTTGCTGTCTTAAGTCCAGAGCAGGGAGCTAGGAGTCTGAGGCCTACCTGCGAGCTGGTACCCAGCAATGGCTGGAAGATGCTATACTGCCGAGATGAAATGTTGCTCCTGCTGTTGTGCAGATGTGGCACAGGAACTTCCCATGGCACTTGCAGAGAAATGTTGCAGTGATAATTCTGGCCAGACCGCTCACAGCGCAGAAGACCATAATGTCCAGAGCTGCAGCTGCATTGTTAAAAATTACACAAGTAGTGGATTTGCTTTGTGTATTCAGGGAGCCAGTAATAATGAGCTCATTACCCTATAATAAAAAACTTCACAAAACGCGGAGTTCTCTCAGCGTAAGGATGGGAAGGTTCAGATTTCTTGCCAGCAGCATCAGGTACGTCAGGGAGCATGCATGCGTATAAAGTGCATCACTAGAGATGCTGACTGAAGTTGGAGATTTCAGTCTTTGGTGAGGTTATGCTCCCTCTTCACCGTGCGATAAAGAGGAGGAACAAAAGCGGCTACTCAGTAAAATAAGAAGTGAGAGACCAGCGGGTTGCAATGATCCAAAGTGAGTTAAAAATCCACGATAGAAGGGGACAAGCCAATTCGCGCAAGTTGCACAGAGCAGCTAAGTCCGTGCAGACGCCCCTGTTGATAGGCCCATTGCTCAGGCTTCCTCGGAAGAATATGCTCAGCTGCTAGACCTCCAGTAGCTTTCAATGTATTTAAGAAATGAGGAGCTGCTAAACACTAGCTCTAAATTCTCCCTAGCAAGTTGCGGATTTCAGAAAGTGTAACAGAAAATAGCTTGGCGGTGAACAACAATGTAGGCTAAGGATCAAAACAAATGTTCCAGCCACTGGCGTTTCCTGTCCTGCAGCTAGGTTTGTTGTGTAACTGGGCTGAGCACACACTGCAGCCACAATTTTAGCAGGAGCCGTCATGGTGCAGCCTCAGCGGGGCTTTTGGCTGCAGCAGTGTAAGCTGTTGCAAATTGGAAGGAAGTCTTTGCTGACCTGAACAACTGGCTCAGACTTCCAGTAGGTGCTTCAGAAATGCAGTGCTGTGAAGTAAACGATCAGCGCATCATTCATGCCTCCCGTCCAGAGCTTCTTCAAAGCAAGCCCTTTGAATTCTTGCAATTAAGCAGTAAAGTTTGCTTCTGAAGCGATGCCTGTCCTTCCCTTCCCCTATGCCCAGCCTTCTTTCTTCATTAGCATTCAAAGCCTAGCAATAGTTATTCCCTGTTTGATTAGATCTTTGGTGAACAGCTGAAAGGTAGCGGTGTAGCTGTTTAGTGATTCCAAGACGTGAAAAGCAGAGAAAATGCTTCATACTAATTAGCTAACCGTGGTGGCAGTTGGGCTGTGGGTGTGCGATAGTCCTCTGTTTTTCAGGGAAGGGCTTCAGTTAAGAAGTCAGCTTGTGGTTTATTTCATCTCAGGATCGAAGTAATTTTCCCCCTTCCCACAGCCAGACATTGAGTTTATACTGTTTTAAGGTCAAATACATGAAGTCGTCTTGACATGAGCAAGAATGATAGTTGTTGCTGGCATGCCGGCGGGTTGTATGGCCAGCTCGGTGTGTTCTCCTTTGCTTGCAAACAGCTCGTGATCTGTCTGCGCAGCAATGAAAACTCAATGTTTTTTTTCAAAAAATGTTATCATTGTTTTTCAGAGCAGACCCAGTTGTCTGACCACAAGTAAAGAAATCATTTGGAGTCCAAAGGTAGTAAAAAAATAAAAAAATTAATCACATGTCTATCAAAACGTTAATCAAAATACCCCTGTCACCCACCACCTTACCTTAGCCCCACAGCGCCTTCCTGCCCACCTCAGCACCCCCTCCCACCAGCACCCTGCATGTACTGGGTGCTGCAAGGGAGGACCACTAGGAGGAGGGAGGCTCTGGAGACCCCTCAGGCCCTTTACTGTCAATCGCTGCCCTACTTACTCATCAGTTTCCTCATAGTCCTGGAAGAGGAAGGAAAAAGACTTTTAGGACTTTATGGTTAGGTGGTTTTTTTTCCCAGGTAATTATGAAGAACTCATTAGGAGAACATGGAGTATCCTTGAGAAACCTTAAGAGGTAACAGTACAGGTGAACTGGTTGCAATACGGTTGGCTTTAAATCAGCTGAATCCTGAGTTTCTGCTAGTTGAAGTATTTGAGAGAGAGATTATGCTGAAAGTCCTTATTCACACCAGAGAAATAGACACCTTTTGATGACCATTTACACGACATGCATTATTTTCCGTCTTCTTGTCTTAGTGCATACTTGGCTCATTCTGTCCCGAATAAATAGAAAAAATGTCCCACAGCTGGATGTGAAATCTCACAGAAGTGCTGCAGGTGAGAAGTATGAAGCTGTGCCCTCCCTTGTGTTTTTCTGTAGCAGGGAAGGGTGACAGTTGCTAAATTGCTTTATATGAACATTTGTATTGCAAAATTTTGTGCTATCCTTCAGATAGATAGTGCTACAAAAATAAGGATTTGCCAGGGCTAAAAGCAAGTATGGAAATTAACCAGTAAAAATTGTTCCACACCAGGTTGTAGCTCAAAGGATACGTTTATGCTGTGTCGTAGGAAAGCCAGTGGCAGTTATGCCCCTCTTAGGACTACACCGAATAGTGCGAGAAAGCTGAATTAAGCAGTTCTTCTGTGTATAGACAGGTCATCACTAATTACCCATGATGGTGAAGATAAGGGAATTCTGCTTGGCTTGTTAACACTGTGAAGTAAGCTATGCAACTTCGGTCTGGTTTGGCTCTTCTAAAGTTTCATGTACAATGGCTTTAGGGCAGGAGAGAATATTTCACGTTGTATAAATCAGTACAGATAAAATTGCTCATTAACTCTATAAAAGTGCTTCCTTGGGCAAAGTCTAAGAGAAATGTTCAGGGTGCCCATTTTTCTCTTGAGTTCCTTTAGTGTGTTCTCAGTCTTCATTTGGTCAAAGTGTTTTGATTTGATTTTCTTGGCATTTGGCATAATATCTATTACAAATCAGTAAAACTGAGAAAGGAAATTGGAAAAGAATAGGCATGAAGTTCTGCTGCCGTGAAACACCACTTTGTAAGTTTGAAGATGCACATACTAAGTGCTCTCAGAGCAAACTGGTAACAGTAGTTTGACTTGCTAGGAGAAAAAAGACCCTATGGGAAGAACTCATCTGAGCTATCTTTATACATATGATGTAGTCACCCACATCTGAACTAGTCATACAAACCTCCCTGCACAGTCATCAGAGATACAGGCTTTTTCAGGATGTTAACAGGTTGTCTTGCTTTAAGTATGTGTCTTAAGCGGAGATGAAATCTGTCCAAGTACCTGTTCCCCTCTGTGAACAGGAGGGGAGTGCTGGGTGATAGTTCCTAAGTATCTATGAGTGGTAAAATGAAACCTAATCTATGGGACAGTTTCTGGCACTTATTTGTTCCTTCTTGAGACATGCCAGTAGTTTCAGCCTGGCTAGACACCTGCTTGTAATCCGGGGACTTCAGAGAGCTGCAATCTTTGCAGAATAACACTGATTACTGAATAATGTGTGCCAGCCTCTGGGGTGAGGGCCATCTCTTTGTTTTGTGTTTGTACAGCCCCAGGCACAGCAGGGTCCTGCCCCAGGATGGACCTCCTGTACACTACCACAACACAGATAATCAATAATAGCAGACTTAATTAGAACTTTGATCAGTCTCTCTTCCTTCTAATTCGCTGTGTTTTAAATCCCTGTGATGTCTAAATGAGGTTTGATAACAATTCTGTCTCTCATTTCCTCCTGTCCCACAGGAGCACATTTACAAGCTGATGAAGAGTGACAGCTATGCGCGTTTCCTCCGTTCAAATGCTTACCAGGACTTATTGCTGGCGAAGAAGAAGGTATCTGTTGGAAAGGACGTGCTTGCATCTCTTAGCACCTCTTGATTCTCGCCTGCTGCTTGCTGCTAGTGTGAAAATGAAAATATTGTTTCCTTTTTTTTTTTTCCTTTATTTAAGAAAGGAATGAGCACTTTTGTTTTCTTCTTGGGGGGCACAGGGTACGGCATCCGTATGCACAACCTCAATGTGTGTTTTGGGGAAAACATGGTGGCCTAAGGTAAAAATAATATGGAAAAGTGTTTGTTTTGTAAGCTGTCTCCATAACTGCAGGCAATTAAAAATGTATTGCCTCTTCCTCATGACAACAATGGTGTCTGGTATGAGAACGGAACCCATCAATCTATTCATTACTGGTGCAAATTTCACCCATTCTGGTTTTCAACTCCCTAGCCTCACCATGTGATCTTCCCTTTGGATGCCTTACCTGTAGACCCCCCTGCAGTGATTCCCATGCTCCTTTTCTCCCTTTCCCTTGCTTTTGGCTCCCCAGAGATGTTTCCTTTTCCTTGGAGACGAGAAATAATTGTAACCCATGCAGTAATCAAGAATTCCAGCCACATCTTCTCACAGAAGAACTGGTTTTGAGCTCTTCTTAGCCTTTTAGTGTCTGCATGTGCTCTGCCAGCATCATGTTTCTGCCAGGAACCCCCGGTTCAGGGTAGCAAAGGAGTGGTTACGTAGAGTTACGGCAGCTCCTGTCCAAGTGTCCCTTCTTTCTGAGGGGGCTGGGAGGTAAGCTACTGATCTCTGCATTTGTGGCTGTGTTCAAATGCTTCCTGCACCTCCTGACTTATTCCCATAACTCTACGTGTCTGTCTGTGTGCATGTGCATGCATGTACACGTGTACGTGTCCCACTTACATTTGGCTTTCAGGATCGTACTAAACTGACTCCTGACTCCTGCAGCCTGAGTGTGTGGTTTCCCATCACCATCTTCCCCGCTGTTTTTCTGCTGCATTCTCTGTGTGCTGCCAAATTACATTGCATCGGCACAATACAATGAAATCCCAGTGGTATTTTTGTCCTGATTGTCATTGTGTGCCCTAAAAGCATGCATATGGTGACAAAAGGAGACAAACCCGTCTGTCTGCTGTGCCTGGGACTACTGGCAGGTGGATTAGGGGAAGGTAATGGAGGGCAGCAGTCATCCCTGTGTTTCAAAATGTCTGGTCTGAGACAGCGTAAACCAGTGCTGCTTACATTTGAAAAGGTTAGACCTCACTTAGAGTTCGGAGGCTGTGAGGAAAGAAAGAGGTGCAAGGCAAAGTGTTGTGATGCTATAAAGCATAAAACCTTTGCCATCTTCCTACCCCTATCAGCTAACAGTGTGTCCACCCCACTCCCAAGTCCCCACTGAACACATGAGGGTTCATGTGCTTCAAAGCAGGAGAGTTTTCTCCTCCTAGCTGAGCCTCTTCAAACCAGAGGTGGGTTTTTTTGTGTGGTTTGGTTTGGTTTGGGTTTTTGCAATCCTTGTTTGCTGTCAGATCAAGCCCTGGATGTGTCAGCATGACATCCTCATCCCCCTGCCAACTGCCAGAGGAGCAGGTTTTGGTGTCATGTTAACACAGCCGTGAAAGTAAGAATCAAGTTTCTTTTAGAAAGAGCTGTGGGTGCAGGGATAAACATAGCGAGGCACAAAAAAGGCAAGAGTAGATTTGTGTAGATGGGTTGTTCACCAGCTTCGCACGATGCAGGAGGGGAGTTGATGTTATTCCAGAATCTGTAAAGCTCTTTGCAATCACATTGCATTGTGTTGGGCAAGTGAACATTTCTGAAGCAGTGTAGGTACAGAAGGAAGATGAAGTTTCTGTACACTGAGCTACACAGTAAGATCTTTAGTACCTTTCGTGCAGCTTTGAGAAGGCATCCCTTTAAAATTCCTCTAAATAGTTGGAAAGCAGAGGGAAGGAAAAGAGAAACTCAGTGGCATATCAGAGCCTGCATGGATGGAGGATTTATTTGGTTTAGAGCCTGCCTACAAAGTCCTGGATTCACTGATGTGAGTAGAAGTTCACTGTATTTGTTTAAGACTTGATGAGTACGTCTCTCTGGGGCATGAGTATGTCTTGCCCCAAAGACATTATCCTAATGTTGCCTGTATACCACACTGATATGACATAACCTTACTTTTATTACTGAAAATGAGTTCTGTCAGAAGCACAGCATGGTGGACTTGGGCTAAAAGAGTTGCTTGCACAAAACAAATTAACATCTCTATGGCTTGAGATTCACAAATGAATGTTTTGTGGGTAAGTTTATGTCATTTGGGATCTTTTGCCCTCCAGCACTGGGTTGTGGCAAGGTGAGTGGCCAGGAGGAGGGACAAGGTTGGCTGTGTGACAAACACAGTTCTGGGAGTCACAAAATCCACGTGCTTCCCCTGGTTCCCCCACTTACTTTCTTGTGTGACCTTGGGGAAAAGAAAGTTCAGCTTTGCATGCCTCGTATCCTCTTCTCTGTTGAATGGGAATAATAATAGTGACCCGCTCAGTGGAAAGGTGTCAAGGCTTGATTAGTGCCTCAAAACATGCTTGGCATTTTTGAGATTTGTAAGATACTTTTAAGTTTGAAGAGTTACTTTTTTTCCACACTGTACAATAACCACAGATGTGGGAGGTTCCTCTCCTTGCTCTGGGAGTGCAGTAATGGAGGGGAGGGAGGGAGGAGAAGTTATGGGTCGGGACTGAGATACAAAGACAGAATTATGAGGGGCAGCAGGGAGGATAAAAGGAACATATTGTTCACACCACTAACTGATGCAAGACAGTGGACATAGGCTGCGTACAGACCAGGCATACATACTTTGTTAATCCATTTTAGGGTTTTTTTTTTTTATTCCGTTCTTCCCAGTGTCATTATTACAAATAACCACAGTATTATTGGCCTCGATCCTGCAGATTCATGATGCTCAGCAGGGAACATGAGGTTGGCCTCCAGCAAGGGTGTGATTGGAAGCAGTGGGCGGCAGAAGCGAAAAGCTGGGTGTAGCTCCGTGCCTTGCACAGAAGTCTTCCTCCCCTGCCAGGCTGGAGGAGAGGGGGGACGAGGGCAGAGCCCTTTCCTCAGGAGGAATAGCTGTACACCCGGCCCAATTCAAGCTCTGTGCCTCCATGCCCAGCCTTACCCCTGCAGCAGATAGAAATCACAGATGCTGAAAGTGGTCGGCTCGGCAGCGGAGGGCTGGATGGTGCCGAAATCCCTGACCAACTCATCGCATTTTATTTGTGTATCTATGCGATATGCCCCACTCGTGCTGTGCAGAGTCAGGCGTCAACCTGCTCCTATTTCTGCTGATATGCACATTACTGCAGGCTACTTTACAGCAGGTAATCACCACCACTCTGCACCCCAGCCCTCCTCCACAGTAGCCAAAATGGTGGCTGGATGTCCTAAGGACAGCTGTCGCGGCAGCAAGCCTCTTGTCAGAATGAGTGCCGTGACAAATCTCCTCACTTGAGCCAAGGAGGAGTTTAGACTGGGTGACTTGGCTGCAGAGCAGGGGTTTATTCCCTGAGGAAAGAGCAGCACAGATTAGTTAGTGCACTGTGTCAGGGAGTGGGGGTGCGCAGGAGGTTTGTTATTGGTGAAGGAGCAGCCAGGCACGTGCTCTGCTAGTTATTTTTGAGAAGGGAGAGAAGGGAACAGAAAAGACCTCGAGGCACTTTCCATCACTCCCCGCAAAGGTGAAACAATGACTTTGGTGGGCATCTCCACGTTAGCAGGCACCTGCCTGCCAGCTGAATCAGCAGCCAAGCTGTCAGGTGCGCAGGAGGTTTGTTATTGGTGAAGGAGCAGCCAGGCACGTGCTCTGCTAGTTATTTTTGAGAAGGGAGAGAAGGGAACAGAAAAGACCTCGAGGCACTTTCCATCACTCCCCGCAAAGGTGAAACAATGACTTTGGTGGGCATCTCCACGTTAGCAGGCACCTGCCTGCCAGCTGAATCAGCAGCCAAGCTGTCACAGCTCCGG